AGCGTATCACTGACAAATACATAACTTATGACAGCGTATAAAGGCGTATTGCCAGAGTGTGTCTGGTGTGTTCAACGTGTGGCCGGCGTATAAATAACGTATGACTAGCGTATAAATAACGTATGACTAGCGCGCTCAGCGTAGAGGAAAGGTGCCTAAAACGGGCCGTATGGGTAACGTATATCTGGCGTATGTAAACGTATGCAGAGCGTACCTCTAACGTATGCCTAACGTATAATTCATACCTTCATACGTTCTCATACGCCGAAAATGCATGCACAAAAATGTTTTTAAGCCTCGGCGTACTACAACGTATACCAGCGTGCTTCTAACGTATACAACTTACACCTAACTTATCCAAAGCGTGTTTCAGCGTTGCCGGCGTTTTGGCAAAAATTATCATACGTCGCCATACGTTACTGCTATACGTTGTAGTGAGACAGGGGCATTGCACTGCCCACTTCGGACTACCGCCATTCACGTATTGAACAATGCCGGGGAGGGACCTCGACACAATGTTAATGTATGGCCACAGGAACGAGGCCTCAGCTAGGAGTTATACAGAAAAGGGGGCAAGGGTGGCCCAGTCGTCTAAGGCGCCGCGATTCGCTGTGCAGAGTTGCGTCCCTTGAACACGCCAGAAACCTATGATTGTGGGTTCGAATCCCGGTTCGCCCCGATTATGTTTCTAGGTTTGTCAGCACCATACCCGTGCTCGTGGGTTTCACCGAAGTGGTAAACGTCTGAGACCTACATCACTTCGGTCTTTCCTCTCACATTAAGCTGGCACGCCGCGATATGACTGGAATATTGTTAAAAGCGGCGTTAAACCCAACTCACTCACTCACTATACAGAAGAACTGACCCTCTGACCAAACGAGAGCCAGACTTGTTCACAGAGCAGCTCCAACTCCCTTGTGTCTTCAGACGTCACCTGTGCCGACATTACACGTCGAGTACCCGCCGCCACATTTCCAAATCCTGACCGTAACAGTTTTAGGCCAACGTGTCCCCCAGAAACCTGTCTCCAACAGTATAATAATCTTGTATACTTCTCACCCACCTTCTGCTTCTCATGACATTTTGACTAGTTCAAATTTTGAAAACTGTCAGTTCTCCATTTACATGAACAACGCTTGAGATTACGACGTTAGCTGCTGTGATGCTCGCTGTCAATGCCATGTTGGTATGAGGTCATTAATATAGTCCCTTCCGAAAACAAATAGTTTTGAAGTTTTTCTCGCTCAGGAATAACGTCGGTGAAAGTAAAGCATTTTCACAAACGATAAAGTATATGGGTATCCGTTCAATAAACACATTTGTTGTTATTTTTATGACGTTGCGGTAAAATTGTCTTCATATATTCTTGCGCATGTTACGATGTGCAGCGAAATGAGCACGCTTGTTAACAAACCTGATAACTAGAGTAGATATATCAGAAACGGATCGATATTGAACCACTGACTGATGTCACGTGACAGCACGATTATAACACCTGCTGACATCACGTGATAGGCTTTATACAACACTGACTTCACGTGTCAGCGGTGATATATAAATAGCTGGCATCACGTGACAGACACGTGACCCTGGCTGAAAGATCTGTTCCGATGGAAGATATGACTTGATCTAACATTGATATATTCGAATAACCCCGAATTCCAATGGTTAACCTTTGCAATGCGTTAATACCGAAATATTATTAAATATATGTAACAATACACGTCACTCATGAATTCAAAAAGGTATGTTTTTTTATCCCCCTATCTTGGAAAAGGAGGGATCTGGTTTTAAAAAATTCAAACCAGGGACCCACTTGGCAATGGGTGTCAGTTGGGTTTAGTTCAGAGGCAATAATCCGGGTTAATCCAATAGTTCAAAGTTGAACTGTATGACCTGGATCTGCCAACAAGACTTACTGGTACTCGTCATATCGATTGTTACCCTGTCTGGCGCTCGGCATTAAGGGGCTAAAACAAGGACTGGTCGGCTCGGAGTCAGTATACTGTGTCTGAGTGGGGTATTCATGTTAACTGCGGCATGTGTCTCAGTGGGCTAGCACTATAAATCGGCATCAGTTCGGACGAGTACAAGGAGCCACTCACGTGCAAAACGTTTGGACGCGACGTTAAACCCCATTTCACTTCACCTCATATAGACATTATTGTTGGATGTGTGCTTCAGTGTAAAATCCCTAGCGCATGAAATATGCATGCTGCAATAGCGTGCCTGCCGGCAATAAAGGCCAGAGAAATATTTACGCACCACTTCCTATTAAAATGTGGTCCTGAAGACTATTTACGTACCAGTTTCTATCAAATTGAGGCCCGTGTTAACTGAAATGCGTCAGAATACAAATCTTTAAGATAAAATATAACATTTAAAACAGTTTTTACATCCATCCTACCATGAGTCAGTAAGTGAAGCCGTGTGGGTGGAATCGAATGTTTAACGTAGATTGTCGATCTGACGTCAGGAGAGAGTGAGTATGGTTTTACGCCGCTTTTAGACAATATTGCTGCAATACGTCGGGTGACACAATAAATTGACTTCACACATTGTTTTCGTTTGTTTGTTTTTTTGGTTTAACGCCGCACTCGGCACTATTCCAGCTATATGACGGCGGTCTGTAAATAATCGAATCCAGTGACTGATATCATGAGCATCGATCCACGCAACTGGGATACGATGACATGCATCAACCAATTCAGCGAGCCTGACCACCCGATCCCGTTAGACGCCTCTTTCGACAAGCACAGTCGTCTTTTACAGCAAGCATGGGTTGTTGAAGACCTATTCTACCCCGGATCTTCACGGATCCGACGCATTGTACCCATGTGGGGAACGAACACGGACTTCGGCGTAACGAGCGAACGCTTTTACCACTAGGCTACCCCAACGCCCCTCTGAGCTCAAGAAACACATACAACAGCTTTGAAACACAATATGGCGCTATAAATGCTGACACATTGGTTTTTACATCACGATTCTTTACTCGCATACATGACTGACATTGAAACTCTGCGTGCCTACACGAAGTGGTTCCTCTGACAAACAATGAACACTTTTTCCTTAGCTCGTATAATAGGTTAAACGTTCATAATAAGAAGAGTGTATCGGGCGATCAGTGTCTGAGTACGATTTCCTGGCAACGTGATAGTAAGGAATAGCACGACTCCTCCATTAGAGTGGAAACAGGCTCAACAATATCAATATGCTCACTACCCACACAATATAAACAAAAGGAACGCGATTTTACATTTGATTTATACTTAGGCGTGTTATCAGTTGTTAAGAATGTAGCATTCGGGACAGTTTGTGTTGGACATCTGGCTGAGATCACGGCCATATTGGGAACAGGGACGTCTCCCCACCGAAATAGCTCAACCTTAACAGTTTATATATGTATGTGTGTGTGTATGTGTGTGTGTGTGCGTGCGTGCGTGCGTGCGTGCGTGCGTGTGTGCATGCGTGTGTGTGTGTGTGTGTGTGTGTGTGTGTGTGTGTGTGTGTGTGTGTGTGTGTGTGTGTGTGTGTGTGTGTGTGTGTGTGTGTGTGTGAGAGAAATATGATCATATGAACGTACACACACACACACACACACACACACACACACACACACACACACACACACACACACACACACACACACACACACACACACACACACACACACACATACGGGGGTGGGGGTTTCGGGTTGCCCAGTCGTCTAAGGCGCCGCGATTCGCTGTGCAGAGTTGCGTCCCTTGGGCACGCCAGGAACCTATGACTGTCGATTCGAATCCCGGTTCGCCCCGATTGTTTCTAGGTTTGTCAGCACCATACCCGTGCTCGTGGGTTTCACCGAAGCGGTAAACGTCTGAGACCTGCATCACTTCGGGCTTTCCTCCCACATTAAGCTGACACGCCGCGATATAACTGGAATACAGTTAAAAGCGGCGTTAAACCCAAATCACTCACTCTCACACGCACGCACACGCACACACACACACACACACACACACACACACACACACACACACACACACACACACACACATCCATATGGACCTGGTCATCGTATGGGACCAAAGTGATTGTATTAGACCTTCTTATGCCTCAAAGTGAGATTGACCAATCAGAGAGAAGAACTATTAACCCCACACCGCCCCGTCCGTATACCGTCAGCTAAAATCCAATATGGTTGTTACTGACATAATATGAGACGGTATACAGTCAGCAACAGCCATTAGGATTTTCCAACACCCACCTCACGTATTACACATGGAAATTCTGACACAGAAAATTGTTATTCGACACTGTTTTGTGTTTTAATATAATTAATTGTGATGAGCAAAGACATTATCTATTAAAGAAACCACGTTTGTGACTTAATTTATAAAAAGTATAGAGAAAAACTCTTACAACGAAGGTCACTGAGTTACAAATAGCATCGTCAGAGAACATACTATTAGGGTGACGTTGCAAACAAGAAACAGCCCGTCGTTAGGGGAAAGCGGACGACTATCAAGTTACAGTGGCCCGCAGATTTCCATATTAGACCATATCATCGATATTAGACAAGATTGCCGATGTTAAACCAAGAGCTGATGTTAAACCATAGAGCTGATGTTAAACCATAGCCTCGAATTAAGACGATAGCATTGATACTAGACAGCGCCGTCTATATTAGATCATAGTGTTGGTATCAGACCATACCGTCGATAGAAGACCATAGTATCGATATCTAATCATAGTGTCGGTATAACCTTTGTGCGTATTTCATCATGGCGATTGAAATACTGCTAAACTTTTTTTTAAATCAGTTATGTTAAATCGCTATTATACATTTCCCACACACAAAGTAGGCATTGACAACATATTACCCAAAACGCTGGTAAACAAAAACAAATCAGGAGAGACAATTATTTGACAAGACCCCCTTCCACACACAACCCAAAACGACCAGTAACACCATCCGTTCACAAGGCATGACTAACTAGTCAAGAAAGTCTTACCTTCTCGTCCGGTTATGAAAAGAAATGTGTCAAGTTCAACTCGCCAAGTTCAACTGGACAAATCACGAGCGGTGCACGTGCTTGCTTTTCAAGTCAAGACATGCGGTCAGCTATATCTAAGCAACAGGTGTGATGAATATCGCCAAATGGGTGAAATTGGTGTCTTAGTTTGTTTGCCCCCAGTAGTAAAAAAGTATGTGAATGATATTATGAACCGGCAGTGAACCGTGTTTATTGTGTAACTTAGAACAGTACACAAGTACAAGTACACGGCACATTCATAGAAGGAGGGTATTGTGTTTGAAAGACGTGAATCGATGAATGGGGCTTTTAAAGGCCCCACATTCACTGAGTATCGTTTGTCATGCTAGAGTGGGCGCAAATACTCTACATGTCGGTGAGGTACAATGGATTCGTAGATCGGTTGCACACATGTGTAAACCTGATTCGTTCTCTCGAATCGCGAGGACACACCAACACCCTTAACCGTTACCCGACATCCCCCTCCCCTAACATTCACCCTACACCCCCTCTCACTGTCACTCTACAGCCCCCTCTAACTGTCACCCTACATCCCCCTCCCCTACATTCACCCTACAACCCCCCTAACTGTCACTCTGCAGCCCCCCTCTAACTGTCACCTACATCCTCCCCTAACTGTCACCCTACACCCCCTCTAACTGTCACCCTACACACACTCCTATATGTCACCCAACACCCCTCTAACTGTCACCCTACACACACCCCTAACTGTCACCCTACACCCCCTCTAACTGTCACCCTACACACACCCCTAACTGTCACCCTACACACACCCCTAACTGTCACCCTACACACACCCCTAACTGTCACCCTACACACACCCCTAACTGTCACCCTACACACACCCCTAACTGTCACCCTACACACACCCCTAACTGTCACCCTACACACACCCCTAACTGTCACCCTACACACACCCCTAACTGTCACCCTACACACACCCCTAACTGTCACCCTACACCCCTAACTGTCACCCTACACACACCCCTAACTGTCACCCTACACACACCCCTAACTGTCACCCTACACACACCCCTAACTGTCACCCTACACACACCCCTAACTGTCACCCTACATCCTCCCCTAACTGTCACCCTACACCCCCCCTAACTGTCACCCTACACCCCCCTAACTGTCGCCCTACACCCCCTCTAACTATCACCCTACACACCCCCTCTAACTGTCACCCTACACCCCCTAACTATCACCCTACACACCCCCCCTAACTGTCACCCTACACCCCCTAACTGTCACCCTACATCCTCCCCTAACTGTCACCCTACACCCCCTAACTGTCACCCTACATCTCCCCTAACTGTCACCCTACACACACACCCAACTGTCACCCTACATCTCCCCTAACTGTCACCCTACACACACACCCAACTGTCACCCTACATCTCCCCTAACTGTCACCCTATATCCCCCTCTAACTGTCACCCTACATCCCCCCCCCCCCTAACTGTCACCCTACATCTCCTCCCTAACTGTCACCCTACATCCCCCTCCCCTAACTGTCACCCTACATCCCCCTCCCTTAACTGTCACCTACATCCCCCTCCCCTAACTGTCACCTACATCCCCCTCCCCTAACTGTCACCCTACATCCCCCTCCCCTAACTGTCACCTACATCCCCCTCCCCTAACTGTCACCCTACATCCCCCTCTAACTGTCACCCTACACACACACCCAACTGTCACCCTACATCTCCCCTAACTGTCACCCTACACACACACCCAACTGTCACCCTACATCTCCCCTAACTGTCACCCTATATCCCCCTCTAACTGTCACCCTACATCCCCCCCCCCTAACTGTCACCCTACATCCCCTCCCTAACTGTCACCCTACATCCCCCTCCCTTAACTGTCACCTACATCCCCCTCCCCTAACTGTCACCCTACATCCCCCTCCCTTAACTGTCACCCTACATCCCCCTCCCCTAACTGTCACCCTACATCCCCCTCCCCTAACTGTCACCCTACATCCCCCTCCCCTAACTGTCACCCTACATCCCCCTCCCCTAACTGTCACCTACATCCCCCTCCCTTAACTGTCACCTACATCCCCCTCCCCTAACTGTCACCCTACATCCCCCTCCCCTAACTGTCACCCTACATCCCCCTCCCCTAACTGTCACCCTACATCTCCCCTAACTGTCACCCTACATCCCCCTCCCCTAACTGTCACCCTACATCCCCCTCCCCTAACTGTCACCCTACATCCCCCTCCCCTAACTGTCACCCTACATCTCCCCTAACTGTCACCCTACATCCCCCTCCCCTAACTGTCACCCTACATCCCCCTCCCCTAACTGTCACCCTACATCCCCCTCCCCTAACTGTCACCCTACATCCCCCTCCCCTAACTGTCACCCTACATCCCCCTCCCCTAACTGTCACCCTACATCCCCCTCCCCTAACTGTCACCCTACATCCCCTCCCTAACTGTCACCCTACATCCCCCTCCCCTAACTGTCACCCTACATCTCCCCTAACTGTCACCCTACATCCCCCTCCCCTAACTGTCACCCTACATCCCCCTCCCCTAACTGTCACCCTACATCCCCCTCCCCTAACTGTCACCCTACATCCCCCTCCCCTAACTGTCACCCTACATCCCCCTCCCCTAACTGTCACCCTATATCCCCCCCCCTGTCACCCTACATCCCCCTCCCCTAACTGTCACCTACATCCCCCTCCCCTAACTGTCACCCTACATCCCCCTCCCCTAACTGTCACCCTACATCCCCCTCCCCTAACTGTCACCCTACATCCCCCTCCCCTAACTGTCACCTACATCCCCCTCCCCTAACTGTCACCTACATCCCCCTCCCCTAACTGTCACCCTACATCCCCCTCCCCTAACTGTCACCCTACATCCCCCTCCCCTAACTGTCACCCTACATCCCCCTCCCCTAACTGTCACCCTACATCCCCCTCCCCTAACTGTCACCCTACATCCCCCTCCCCTAACTGTCACCTACATCCCCCTCCCCTAACTGTCACCCTACATCCCCCTCCCCTAACTGTCACCCTACATCCCCCTCCCCTAACTGTCACCCTACATCCCCCTCCCCTAACTGTCACCCTACATCCCCCTCCCCTAACTGTCACCCTACATCCCCCTCCCCTAACTGTCACCCTACATCTCCCCTAACTGTCACCCTACACACACACCCAACTGTCACCCTACATCTCCCTAACTGTCACCCTACATCCCCCTCCCCTAACTGTCACCCTACATCCCCCTCCCCTAACTGTCACCCTACATCCCCCTCCCCTAACTGTCACCCTACATCCCCCTCCCCTAACTGTCACCCTACATCCCCCTCCCCTAACTGTCACCCTACATCTCCCCTAACTGTCACCCTACACACACACCCAACTGTCACCCTACATCTCCCTAACTGTCACCCTATATCCCCCTCTAACTGTCACCCTACATCCCCCTCCCCTAACTGTCCCCCTACACACATCCAACTGTCACCCTATATCCCCCTCTAACTGTCACCCTATATCCCCCTCTAACTGTCACCCTACATCCCCCTCCCCTAACTGTCACCCTACATCCCCCTCCCCTAACTGTCACCCTACATCTCCCCTAACTGTCACCCTATATCCCCCTCTAACTGTCACCCTACATCCCCCTCCCTTAACTGTCACCCTACACCCCCCTCCCCTAACTGTCACCTACATCCCCCTCCCCTAACTGTCACCCTACACCCCCCTCCCCTAACTGTCACCCTACATCCCCCTCCCCTAACTGTCACCCTACATCCCCCTCCCCTAACTGTCACCTACATCCCCCTCCCCTAACTGTCACCCTACATCCCCCTCCCCTAACTGTCACCCTACATCCCCCTCCCCTAACTGTCACCTACATCCCCCTCCCCTAACTGTCACCCTACACCCCCCTCCCCTAACTGTCACCCTACATCCCTCTCTAACTGTCACCTACATCCCCTGCCTAACTGTCACCTACATCAAAATGTTTATGTTTTAATCAACACAGAAAAAAATTGTTCACAACTTCACGATGTTGTTGATCGTAGAGATTCCTTTAAACATATACATGTATACGCTCCAATGGAACATTTCAGATCTGATCACAATAGTAAATGAGCTTATATATAAGGCCGCTGTCCAATTCATACACGACACAAAACGATGTGTGACTTTTATCCTGTCGGGAGATAAGGTTAAGGGGTAGGATAGTGGGATGAAGCGAGTCCAGTAGAAAGGACAGGACCAAGATAGGACTAACAGTGATAAATAGCAACCGTGGTCAGTATTTCGCAATGTTTATCTCGGGGAACAATAGGCAGGGTTCCTTATTTGCCGAGTCATGCTGACTGGCTGAATTTAACCGTTAAGAGTCGGTGCGGATGTCATACGGCGCGAATATAACGGATCTTGGGGAGCTAATTCGGTGATACACCTACTCTGTTTTGAAATTTGATGTAGTCCCACTGTACACTAGATACCTCTTATTTTAATTTAGATCCGAGCGCTTTAGCGCAATGACTCAAATGTATGAATAAGTGTACATCTTGAATATTGTGAAAGATCTGCTCGCGTTAAGAGATCATTTATTATTGTGACCTCGATCGATACCCTCTTAGACGTTTTGGATTGTTTAAATGGATCAACTATTGGACTAAGCTTCTAGTAACTAAGAACTGTATTCTTAAATAGAGAATCTCACCCTCGTGTCTTTTGATATCAAATATATCAACACAAGTTGATAAAAATGGAAAAACTCCGAGGCTTGCCGAGGAGTTTTTCCACTTCTATCAACGAGTGTTGATATATTTGATATCAAACGACACGAGGCTGAGATTTTATTTATCATCAGACATCATTCTTCCAACTTTTTCAGTTTGTAGACAGTAATAAGCAGTGGCTCAGTGTAAAACGTACTGCTAACGGCTTCAGTAGGAGAGCCATTAGCTATGTCATTTGATTGTGACGTCATGTAACAATGACGTCACAATGGTCTGCAAAACATTGTGATGCAATTTCATTGCAGCGACATCTACAATGCAGTTATCGCTTGATCTCACCCAAGCGTTATTTCCTGTGGGAGCCAGTTTTGAATGATAAAGGTTGTTATTCGTTTATGTATGATAAATTGGAATACGATAATAAGTACAAAGAGTTATAGGTGGTTTAAAATATATTGTTTTTCATTTGGTTCGGAGACAATCATTTACCATCAATAAAGCAGAGAATCAAGCATCACAGACAAAAAGAGGGCAAATCTCTATTTCTTCTAAATGGGTATTGTATAGTTTTCTTGTTGATACCCACTCTATACAATATTATCTGAGAAAATCAATTCCAGTCATTTACCGAAAATATACATTCAACTTAAGGCCTTCAGTCCACATG